TGAACTTTTTTCACTTATGTGAACACTTAGTTTGGAAAGATTATTCATGTTAAAGCTTATTTAGGAAAAAATACAACGAACAGATCTATGAAAGGTTAGTAACATTGAAACAATATTGAAAGCGTATGCTTGCTCTTCATCAGATCTCAGAGCAGTATCTCTGTAAACTGAAACCCTTTGATTACTAAATGTTTGCTTCGGAACGGGAGGTCGATCTTGCTTTAATCTTGTCTTCAGGAATCTCAGTGAGTGGAAGCCACTCTGTCAATGAGAGGAACAGGGAGGGGGAGGGACAGCTGTAACTTCAGGCGATTATCTGTCTTACAAAATACTCCTTAAAGTGGTAACAATAAAAGACAGACAGGGTTGACTGGAGAAGATTGTGCGTAGGAAGAGGAAGAATGAAGAGTACTGTGAGTTTGAAGGGGATCACATAGAGCTCTTTTTGGTGATGCAAGAAACAGGAAATATTTTGTCTGATCTATGGTATACCACTGAGATCACTTCCTGGTTCTTAAAGACAAAATACTTAAAGAAAAAACAACAATGTTTCAATAACCATTGTTGAAACCCCCAAACCATCTGTAGACAATGGGGCATCACCTCACAGAAGGGTCCCAAGGAAGGGATAAGTCAACCAGGGTGAAGTATAGCACCGATGAAACAGACAAGATTGCTCTGGTTCCTTGAGGCTTCCTCGAGGCTTCCTCACCCCCCACTCTCATGACCCCAGTCTTGCCTTTCACTGCAGGCTAGACCAGAGCATATACACAGGTACAGACAAGAGCTCAGGACACACGGAATCCAGGTCAGGAACAGGAACAGAAATGGAAGTAGCAATACCCCTGGGTAGAGGGAAGGTAGAGAGAGGAGGGGGGAAGAAACCGCGGGGGAAGGGAGATAGCGGTAGGCGTAAGATGTGAAAATAACTAATTTATAATTTATCAAGGGGTCACGAGGGTGGGAGGGGGGAAGGGAGAGTAAAAATAGGAGCTGATACCAAGGGCTCAACTGGAAAGTAAATGTTTAGAAAATAATGATGACAACATATGTACAAATATACTCAATACAATTGATGTATGGATTATTATAAGAGCTGTTAAGGGCCCCCAATAAAATGATCTTACAAAAAAGAAGACCACACCCGCATAGTGGCACCAAACATCTTTGATTGAAGAGGCTGGGAATAAAGCATACTACTACCCCACTGAGTAAGTGGGTACATTTCCAGTCAGAGGAGGGTCTGGGTACTTCTTTGTAGGAAAGATCAAACGTTTCCACTATGTCTAGCGATCTGAGGATCTGCCTTCACCAAGTCTAGGGCTGAAGGACTAGAAATCAATGTTATCAGTCCACAATCATTTGAAATAGTAAATAAATAAAAACTCACTACCATTCAGTCAATGCCGATTCATAGAAACCCTATAGGTCAGGGTAGGACTGGCCTTTGCGTTTTTGAAACCATCCCTCTTTATGGAAGTCGAAAGCCTCGTCTTTCTCCTGCAGAGTGGCTGGTTTCAAACTACTGACCTTGCAGTTAACAGCTCAACATTTAACCTCTCTGCCACCAGTTTATAGATAGCCAAAGTCTGAACTTCCAGTTTTATCCTTGTACAGATTGCCACTGAGCCTACGTTCCCATCCTTACTGGCAAGAAATATTCTTTCAACACCACCCTAAATTCCAAATCAGAAACCACCTTGGTATTGCTCTGAGAGTTATTGTTCGTAGACTACTTTGTTCTGTCTTTGGTTTCCTTCCTTAGCTTTTCTACTGGACTAGTAGAAATCAATATATAGAGCTTAGGCGAACCCAGACAGTACTCATCACATTGGGATGTAGAACATACACTAATATTATGTTAATTAATTGCGTTGTCCTATGAATCTAACATCCTAAACACTCCAACCCAGAAAACCAAGGTCTGGAGATGTTTAGTTATATCTAAGGAATGTACATAACTGTGTCCTCTGTATGGCTTATTATGTATATGCATGCACATGCATGTGAATATGAGCACTCATATGTACGTACCCATATAATCACATCCACACATATCTGCATATATTCATATTCGTGAAACCACGTTATTTTTTTATTGTTGCAAATTAAATTGGTCATATTCTTTACCCAAAATGTCCTTTTTTTCCTAACACTTCCTAGTGATCTCATTTATCTTGATCAAGCTGGGGGCAATTCTTCTACATTTAATGCTATCTTTCCTATAACCAAAGCCAACAGGGGTCTACTATATCAAGTGCTTCCCCTCTCCCTCTCCTAATCATCCCTAGTCTCTGCATATTATCCAATCTTACTGTCTTATAACAAGGAGACCATATAATGTTTATTCAACATAATGTCCTCTAAATTCATGTAAGACATCAAAAGATGTTTTTGGACTCATCAGTATTCTTTATGCCTGCATAAGATTACATTGTATATATGTACTACATTTTCTCCATTCATCTGCTGATGGACACTTAGGGTCCCCTCCCCCCATTTTAGGAAACACTTAAGTTTTTTCCAATTGGTATTGTGAATGATGTTACCATGAATATATACTTCAAAGAATATAAGTGTGCATATATCTATTGCCTTTTTCACTGAATCTCCACGGTATTTACATAGAAGTGGGATTGTTGGATCATAAGGTATTTCTATTTCTAGCTTTCCAGAATGCTTGTATTATTTTACATTCCAACCAGCAGTGAACAAGAGTTCCAATCTCCCATCTTAACCAGCATTTGAAGATTGCCTGCCCACGCCCCTGCCGCAATGTGTTGGCTGTCTTTTTACTCTTTTGAGCAAATATTTTGATGAACACAATTACATAATTTTTAGAATGTCCTAGTTATCTAATTTGTCTTATATTTACCTTGACTCGACAGTAATGGATTTAATGAGTATTCCTATAACTATTTTGGACAACATTAGGCATTCCACTCTGTAGAGACTAAAAGTGGATTAATGATTGCGTTGGCTCAGGAAAGGGGAGAAATTTCATTTGTCTGATTACCTATTGCTTTAAAGTTGAATCTAACATATACCCTTTTGGGGTGAATCTGATAACTGTTGGTTGTAGTACACTTATTTGTTAGGAGTAAAGATGTACTTTGCATTTTAAGAATCTGTCCATTTAAAAAAAGGGGAAAAAAAGAATCTGTCCATTAAGCATACCGGTTCAGGAAAAACAACTTGACAGCCACTAACTAGATGAGCACCTTTGGGCCAGTCTACTTAATCACGCTGGATCACATTCTTACTGACTATTAAGTGAAGGATGGATATTCAAGAATCTTCCAAGATTCCTTATCGTAGTATTAAGATTCCAATTATGGAATACGGGAGGATTTGTGCATTACTTTAAAGCCTCTAGACAAGTTTTGCCACTGCTTAAATGCCAAAGCAATTGGACCATTAGTTTAAGTATGATTTTGCCTGTAGAAAGATGTGAGACTGCTTCTGTACAGCTATACAGCCTTGGAAACCTTATGGAGCAATTCTGTCATCCAGGGTTGCTCCATGGATGAGGGGATGAGCAGAAGAATTGATGCATTTGAATTATGGCGTTGGTGAAGAATTTTGAAAGTACTATGGACCGCCATCAGGACAAAGAAATCTATCTTGGAAGAAGTACAACCAGAATGGTACTGAGAATCAGTGGATGGTGGCACTTGGTCTCGGGTGCTTTAGACATATTATCAAAAAGAGACCAATCACTGGAGGTGGACATCATGCTTGTTAAAGGGGAGGGACAGCGAAAAAGAGGACGGCCTTCGAGTGACCCGTGGCTGCAACAGTGGGCTCACACCTAAGAACAATTTTGAGGATGGTGCACAACCAGGAATATACACACACCTGTACTTATCCATACACATATAGGCATATGTGTGTGTGTGACCATACACTTCCTTTATTTTGGAAAATTGTACCTTAATGAAATTGCGACCCCAAAATAGCCAGGGCACATAAATATGTAGGGATTAATACAAAAGCCAGTTTGATTATCCAACATAATTTGCATTCAGCCGTTTTGCAAAAGTCTGCTACATACAGAGCCTTTTGAACGGCTGCTAGTGGTCCAGGTTCTCACTTTGTCTTATTACCTTAGCTTTTCATGTAAATAAATACGATAGAAGGCCAAAATTAGCACCTCGATAACTCATGGCGAACTGTTTACTACCAGACACACATGTTCACTGCCATCAAGTGGATACTGGCTCAAAGGGCAGAGGAGAACTGCCCCTTTGGGTTTTGGAGGCTGTAAATCTTTCACAGAAGTAGAAAGCCCAGTCTTTCTCCAGAGGAGGGGCTGGTGGTTTCAAACTGCAGACCTTGAGGTTAGCAGCCCAATGAATAACCAGAGCCTCATTTTTCTCCCATAGAGTGTCTGGTGGGTTCAAACCACTGACCTTGTGAATATCAGCTCAGTGCACAGCCCATTATACCACCAGAGCTCCTTTATTAAAAAGCAAAAGGTTTTAATGGTAACACTGAAATTGAGAAAAAAAGTCTTCGTGCTATTGATTTCTTCAGGGTGATAATTCTTCCACACTTAATTTAAGCAAACTGAGTAGAACATCACGCCATTCATATTTACCACAGAAAAATGATGCATGAAAAAAAAATCTTAAACCTATACTCAAGCCAAGCAATTTTACTTACGAATTTTCTTGTTCTGCATTAGGATTGTTTACCGAAATTGTTCAGTTAGATTCTAGAGGACCCTGGTGGAAGCTTTATTTCTTAATTTTGTTGCCTTTTTCTCCCTCAAAAGAATCAAGTCTGGCTCATCTCCTCCCCGAGACCCCTCTGCAAGGGGATCTCCAGTGGCCTACTCATGGGCTTTGGGTCTCCACTCTGCACTCCTCCAATCAGGGTGTGATGTAACAACGATGAGAAATACATCTTTCCTCTAATTCCTAAATGTTTCCTCCCCGCTCCCACTACCATGACTCGAATTCGACCTTGCAAGTCTGGCTAGACCAGAGGATGTACACTGGTACAGATAGGAACTGAAAATACAGGGAATCCAGGGCGGATGAGCCCTACAGGACCAATGGTGTGAGTGGCGAAACAGGGAGGGTGGAGGGAGAGTCGTAGGAAGGAGGGAACCGATTACAAGGGACTATATGTGACCTCCTCCCTGGGGGACGGACAACAGAAAAGTGGGTGAGGGGAGACATCGGACAGGGCAAGATATGACAAAATAACAATTTATAAACTATCAAGGGCTCATGAGGGAGGGGGGGAGCGAGGGGAAAAATGAGGACCTAATGTCGGAGGTTTAAGTGGAGAGAAAACGTCTTGAGAATGAAATACAAATGCACTTTACACAATTGATGTGTGCATGGATTGTGATGAGTTGTATGAGCCCCTAATAAAATGTTTAAAAAAAAAAAGAAAGAAAGCAACAACAACAACACATAGGATGTAAGGAGGATGTAGAAAGAGTGTTGTTATGTGGCTGTACGGCACCTGATATCATGATACAAATATGCATAAATTATTGAGTAGAAAATTGATTTGCTCTGTAAACTTTTACCCAAATTGCAATAAAATGTTGAATGGAAAACTTGAAAAAAAAACCCCAAAAACAAAACAAACAAAAAAAGAATCAAGTCAGCGATTTGTATAGCTGTCTGTCCTGAACTTACCTTTAACCTCTGAAATAATTTTCATCAGCAGTTTGATCATATCCCCATGTTATCTAAATGAGAAAGTTGAAACAAATCATGCATTAGCCTTCCTTACCCAGCACGAAGAGTGTATTGTCCACATTTAAAATGGACTCAACCTTTTCAGTGCCAATACTCTCTTAGTTTGATCCTAAGTCACATATTCAGTTTCTGAATTTTCTTTCCTATTCTCCAGTGCCATTTATGCAATATGAAGAGACGTGCCCTCTTGGCATAGTGGGTTAAGAAAAGCAATGGGCAGCAGATTGAAACCACCAGCAACTCTGCAGGCGAAGGACAAGGCTTCTGCTCCCGTAAAGAAGCCCACAGAGGCAGTTCTACTCTGTTCTACGGGGCTGCTATGAACTGAAATCGACTTGATGGCAGTGGGTAAGATTCTTAGATATGAGGAAGTCATTCTAATCCCATTGTTTTACAAATTAAAATTAAGATCGAGGAAGGGGGAGGTGACTTGCTCAAGGTCGGATAGCTAGTAAAGGGAGGAGTTAAGAAGGGCAGCCAAGTCTATGAGACCCAGTTCAGAAATACATCATATTTCATTTAAGCTAGCTTGTCTTTCCCCATTGGTAAACAGGAAGAATTATAAAAATTTTTTAAAAAGCCCCTAAGAATAGAAATAAGTATTAAGTGTTTCATGTAGGAGCTGCATATACTCAATAAAGTATTTCATCTAAATGCTTATGTAAATAGACGTCCTATGTTAAATATAGAAGTCTCCAGAAATATAAACTTAATTTGTGTAATCAATATGTCTTATTTTATTCCTTAAAACTGGGTTACTTTCAATAAATAAACACTAAATGAAATAAACATAATAATAGTCTAAGTTTACAATGGTGTAAAACATGATTTTAAAACTATATGCAAGAAAATATTTTTTAAAGTGCAGGCTCTCAATTAAGTTTTATTTGCATCATTCTTTCTTGCTTTTGTCTAATATTCCCTTAAGAGCTAAATGATATGAGATAAAAATGAGACCTAATGGAAGAAAAGAGGGGATCTTTTACATGGCTGGAAACATATGAGAGTCATGTAGACATGTATGGCAAGCTATATGGCTTCTTCCTACTTTGATGTTGATAACTAGACTTTAAAACGTATTAAAGTAATCATCAGTTTAAGTCAATGCCCAAACTAACTCTTCAAAGAAACAAAAGCTGCAAAAGTAAAGACCATTCAAATGAACACAATACATAAAAGCTCATTGATAAAAAACCATAAAGTCAAACGTGTGGACATTTTACCCCTCTGCTCTTGTTCTGTTGATTCTCTCTGTAGGCCATCTGTCTCTGCAAACATTCCTCCCTTCTTTTTAGTACACAAGACCTAGAATTAATCATAAAATGTAACCATTTGAAAAGCAGGGCTTTACTTGGAAAGAAATAGTTCTTTAAGATCTACATCTTAAGCAATATTCTTCATTATACATAGTGAAACATCCAATTACAAACCAGACACAAGCAATGAAAATCCAGAGCAATATTTAAATAAATCCTTTCATTATCCCTGCAACAGTGATTCTCAGGGTAAGTGTGAATTAACTGACTGCATACCTAGCAAAGATCAGAGGTTAACCAAGCACACGGATACCATTTAATATGTTCTATATACATAATAATTCACACACTCATATTTTGGAGGTCATTTTTGTACAGCTGATTTCCAAAATTTAATACAGTTGTGGAAATTTACAAAAGTATTTGACTTGTCATTTATAATCCATGCAGTTACTGAGATATTCAAAGTAAAAATAAATGTTCAGTTACCTAAACAAGCACAATAAAACTATTTGTAGTTTTAAAAACTAGACCAATTTGCAAAACTATCTTAATTTCTCCACCTCCATTTGCTGGGGCAGACAGACCTTGTCTAACAGTTTTATAAGACGACACATATTCAGTGTATATATTCAATACAACATAGAACATATAGTCAGAGGTTAAGGTTGCATCTATGCAAAGAATAAGCATACTGTCCTAAGGACTGATTTGAGGCAAGCAGGTTTCAGATGTATGCTAAGGACTACCTGAGGAGCCCTTCATGGTGAGTATTACACATCGGGTTGCTAAACTACAGGGTCAGCAGTGTGAAAAACCTAACTGCTCCGCTGAGTAAAAATGGAGCTTTCTAGTCCAGAAAAGTTACAATCCCCGAAACCCACAGGAGAAGGTCTACCCTGTCCAATAGGGTTGCTATCTAAGTAGAAACCACTCCGTAGCAATGAGTTTGAACTTGAGAAGGACTCTCTGAGGTTGCTCTTGATGAAGGAAACACAGGAGGGAAACAGACATTCCTCACCCGCTATTTGCTATTATGTTATCAATTTAGCAGACTTTAAGTGCTTAGCTATTAGCTGAACTGTTGGCAGTTCAAATCCACCCAGAAGGGCCTGGAAAGAAAGACTTGGCAAATTACTTCTGAATAATCACCGCCACTGGAAATTAAGGAGCACAGTTCTACTCTGAAACACACGGGGTCGTCCTGAGTCAGAATCAATGCTACAGCAACTCATTTGGGTATTTTATTTGCTAGTTAACTCTCCCTGAGTCCAAATCTTGGGGTTTGTAAAGGCTATAGAAAAAAGCCAGTGCTTGCCGAAGCATAAGGCCAAAGTAATCTGGGACACACTGGGAAACTGCATGACATCAGTAAGTTAGAAGACATTGATGTCCTTTATATTTTACCTTCATTCTATGAGTACCTTTGTCTTATGCAAATGCTGTAATCGCAAATGCATGTTTACCGATTGAAAGAGGTACATTAAAAATGAGGAGCTGATATCAAGGGCTCGAGTAGAAAGAAAATGCTTTGAAAATGATGATGGCAACGTATGTACAAATGTGCTTGACACAATGGATGGATTGTGATAAGAGCTGTAAGAGCCCCAATAGAATGATTAAGAAACAGATACATAAGGCATGACTTTAAATTTTTATAAATTACTCAACATAATGTATTAATTACTCGCTATATTTTTACCTGTCAATTTCGTGTGGTATGAATTTTCCTCTTGGTAAGTATCTTTGGTATTTCCCTGGTTGCTCATAATTTGCTGAGCGGATATAAGATCTCTCCGAAAATTCTTGGTATCTATCTAATCTGTCACCAGCTCTCTCATAGTTAACAAATTCTCTCTCATTTTGGTCATATACTCTCTGTGGGTAGCCACAATCTCTCTCTGAATAGCTACAAAGGGTCTCAGAGCAGCCATAATAGCTCAACGATTCATCAGGATATCTCCCTAAGTAGCTAGAGTATCTCATGAATTCACCAGGATATCTCTCTGCATTTCTAGGCTGGCTCAACAAAGCACCAGGATATCTCTCTGAGAAGCTACGACGATAGAGCATTATCTCATCACGACAGCTCACCAATTCATCATAGCATTTCTCTGAAAGGTCACGGTATGCCTCTGAAAGGTCACAATATTTCTCTAAACGGCTACCACGGCTAATAAAAGGCTCACGAGATCGCCTTGACCGGCCATGAGATCGCCTTGACCGGCCATGAGATCGCCTTGACCGGCCATGAGATCGCCTTGACGGGCCATGAGATCGCCTTGGCGGGCCATGAGATCGCCTTGACCGGCCACGTGATCTCGCAGACTTGTCGCGAGATCTCTCAGACTTGTTGCGAGATCTCTCGGACTTGTGGCCGGACCGCTCCGACTCATCACAAGATCGCTTGTATTTGTCATGACCTCTCTCAGAGTTGTTACGAGATTTCTCGGTCTTATCTCGAGGCCTCCCAGACCGCCCATGAGATCTCTTGGAACAGCCTTGAGATTTCCCTGATTGGCCATGAGATCTCTCTGACTTGTCACGAGATTCCCCAAAATGGCTATGAGATTTTGTTGACTGGTTTCCAAATTTCCCTGAGTGACCTCTAGCCCTCTCTAAGTGGTGACGATCTCTTTTCGATTTGCCTTGAGCTTTTGATTTTCCTTCTGACCGATGCTTGTTCTCCACGGATTGGCCTGTGATCTTTGATTGAGACTTACAATCAGCATCCCAAGAGTCCTGCAAAGAACCCCACACATATTCATTAGGATTTCCTTTAGTCATAATAATACTTAATCAAGACAGTTTCTGTAAGCAAGTGCTTTTAGAATTCTACAACCCTTGTTTAACATGCTAAATTGTTTTCCGAAGGAATTTGCATAATAGTTCTGAAGTCTGTAGTCTTGGGAAAAAAGAATATTATGCACATCCAACATGAATCAAATAAAAATTAAGGAAACTCAGTTGCGTTGCTAACTTGAACACATGCCTAATTCATCTTCTACCTACTATTTTTCTTGCTCTGTATTTTATCCAAAGAGATGACGGACTAACTATTTTAAGGAGAGACAAAATAGTCGATAATATTTTGTAGCACAAAATCCTTAGGATGAAAGGAAAGAGTTCAAAATCATTATGTTTCAGCTTTCCCTGTTCCATACTCATTGAAAAAGCACTCTATCTCTTCAATATAAGTTCAAATTAGTTAACTCCGATAGAAAGGCCAAACAGAGGAGGGGACAATGAGCTGAAGGAAGCAGAAGACTGGCTGCATGCGTGGGCTTCAGTGAAGTGGCTTAGAGCTCTTCTGTCCATGGTTTTGTAGCTGCGACCAAATGATTAAAGGGGACCATGCTGGTAAGGGTTGTGAAACATTAAGAAGGGATCGCTCTTTTGTGCCATTCCCCGGGATATGAGAGAGAAATCCCCTTAGAAGTACTTCTCCTTAGAAGTAACATGATCATCAAGAAAGAAGGGCCATCGGCACCACCAGAGACTATGAAAAAGAGCAGAGGATCAGTGCCCAGATCGGGATAGAGGTCAAGGAACCAAGTGTCTGAGAGGCTGAGGACCAGAGAGAAATAGCTACTGGCTGAGAAGAGGGAGCCCTGGTTGAGAAGAGGTGCTGCTGTGGACAAAAGCCTGTATTAATGTTTTCTGATCTTGACTTGTAGCAACCTGTTAACTTCCCTAATAAACACCCGTAATCATGAATAGGGAGAAAGGCGGGATTTTATACTCCTGTAAACAGTTACAGGCTCAGATTCATAGGGGAAGTTCTACCCTGTCCTAAAATTTGTCAGTATAATTTGTCAGTATAAACTTGATGGTAGTGACGTGAGAAATCATGATTATTACTTGTGAGTTAGTTCTGTGTAGCCATTGCAACAGATGATCAAACCCAGCAGAGAAGTAGAGTGAGTACGCTGGGAAGAATGGTTGGTGTCAGTGTAAAGAAAGAGAAAAGGTGGAGGCATGTCTGACCTCTGCCCTATAGCAATTGGCCATGAGGTGGTGTGGAGTTGATTTCCCCCTCTCCCTAGTGAAGCCAGAAGATGTCAGATGCACATTTCATGCTATTTCTTCCAAACTGTTCAAATAAACTGGCCTAGCAGTAACTAAGTCTTTTCACCTTTTTTACTCTTTAAACCCAAAGGGCAGTAGAGTGAATCATCCCAATGGGAACAATGGCACCTTTAACACATCTTTATGATACTATATAAATGTAAGTGGATAATCTCATATGGGCATGCTGAAAAATCAAGTTAGTAAACGTTGCTTTGGCAAACAAAACATACCTATAAATGGCATTGTGAATTTATAGTATAACACTACCAGAAGTTGAAGGTGACTGATGAAAAGCAAAAGAACTACTGAAATAAAGAATAGTATGTGCATGAACCTTTAATACAATTTAAAAATATGAAAATATTTTACTTTCTTTGTTATTTAAAAAGCCATAGTCACTCTCCTGCGTATCAACGGGAAATATTAGAAGGGAAAATGAGCAGCATGTACATGCCCTTGCTCTCCTAAGTGATTAGTTTGGGAGCGCGATGGGTCAGCAGCAAAGATGAACTGGAGACTTAACAATCCAAAAACCTTTCCCAAAGAGCCTGCAGTCCTTTGAAAAATGTCTATGTAAGAAATAATGGCATCAATGTAATTAACACAACACATTTCCTACCTTTAGGAAATGAAATGCACATTTGTTTTCTTTCCTTATTAAAAAAAGAGGTGGTGGTGGTGATGAAACAATCTTAAAAAGAATCATATTGAATAAATACAATCACATTCCACTGATATGAACAGATTAAATCTTTGGAACTACCAGGTATCTTATTAAATTTTTTAAAGTATGACAAAACATATAGATCTGCAATTGTTATTCAATATATTGGTGAAATAATTACACTTGAATTGAAATAATTATATTTCCTAAAGGCAAGGTAATTTTTTTCTATTAAGTTTTTCTACGATAGTCTCATCAGTACAAGAGTTTGGATGCTTTCAACTTCAAAATAAATTTTTCGGCATTTTCAGTTTATCCATTTCAGATTGTAATAAAAGTTAGCTGATTTTGCAATCATTATTAAAAATCTTATCCTGAAAGGACATCTTCTCCATCAAATCTTGTTATGTCCCCCAAAGGAAATGAATCAGTACATCTTCACATTATATAGCATATACTCTATTGGAATGAGTATTGCATCCTGAGTCGCATTAAACTTATCTCTTACTTCTCTCTTTTTAGCACTGTTCTGGTACCTTGCATGATGCCAGCAAACAGTAGGCATTTAACAAATATTTACTGAATCAATTTAAATAAATCTTCCAAATATTTGAAAATGCTTGTCTTCCACCTACTAAGATTAGCAAATTCATAGACCAAGTTTAAACAGTAGCACTAATGTCAACTTGTGAGTTTGAATATCCCAAAACACACCATCAATTCGGACTCATAGAGACCCTACGCAGAGGTTAAGGCTATGAATCTTTATGGGAAGAAATAGCCTCATTGTTCCCCTTATGAGTGGCTGGTGAGCAGTCCATTTTGTCCTTTGGTTAACAGTCCAATGTTTACCCTATGGCACCACCAGATCCCCGTGTGACTCTGGATAGCACCTCTCAAAGGTCTGTGATAGGATAATATCTCTAAGGCTATAATGAAGTCCAATTCACATAATATAATTCAAGTTTCTGCAACAACCACTAAAGCTAGTGATGAAAAATGTGAAGCATTCTACCAACTTCTTTGGTCTGAAAGAGATCAAATATGCATTGAGAGCTACAGGTGATAGGAGTTTGAAAATTGGAAACAAAGAGGAAGGGACAGTAATTGAAAAAGTTAAAAAGTTAAAAAAGTTGAAGAGAAAATTTCAAAGATCAGCTCAAGGAGACAAATTGAAAGTTTTATAAGGAAATGTGCAAAGATCTGGGGTTAAAAGGCAAAAGGGTAGTATACACTCAGGATTTCTCAAACTGAAATAACTATAATGTCAACTTAAAAACTCAGGCCTTGCGTTAAAATTTCAGGCTTTTTTTTTTTTTAATTTCAGGCTTTGAGTTAAAAAAAATGGAAGGATTCTGTTGAAGTTGATAATCAATAGGAAGACGGCAGAGGAACTGATGCATTTGAACTACGGTGGAGAACATGGGATATGCCATGGACTGCCAGAAGAACAAACAAACCGGTCTCAATGTACAAGCAGAGTGCTTCCTTAGAGGCAAAGATGGCTGGACTTCATGTCACGCACTTTGGACATGTTATCAGAAAAGACCAGTGTCTGGAAAAGGACATGAGGTTAGTAAAGAGTCAACGGAAAAAAAGATCTTCTCCGAGATATACTGACACAGTGGCTACAACAGTGGGCTCAAATATAGCAAGGATTGTGAGTTTGGTACAACACAAGCTTTCTGTTGTGTATAGGGTCATTACGAGTAGGAAACAACCCAATGGCACCTGATAATAATAAATTCAGGTCCAGTGACTTGCTCATCTATGCCAGTTTGAAGGTGATGGATTGGCACAACTACCATGTGTCCTATCCATTGGTTCCAGAATGTATATCATATCCTATATCATTGGACTTCTGGTTTGTAGAATTCGTTCACAAAGCTACTGAAAAGGTTTTTTATACTATACCTTAGGATGAAAGATTCTTACTGGGCCAATCATAACAACCAATCATCTATTTTGGCATCTTATAAATTAAATATTTCTAGCGGCAATTAAAGTAGCAAATATCTAATGTTTATTAAAAAAGTGACAAGGATAAAATCAGCTAACAAATTCTGAATCTAAGTTATGTTCAAGGCATCATAGGTGAACAAACAATTCCTGCTCTCAATAGATTTTAATTAATCAGGAATATTTAGAAATGTATTAAATTCAAGATATTTGTTTACTCAGTTACCTGCACGATGAAATATTGCTTGTTAAATCCAGAAGGATATTTTCCATCACCATTTTTTTCTTCAACATTGCGTCTTAATTTTGAGTTGCCTTTGAAAAATAATTATTTTTTTATTTTCAGTCAATAATTTCAATGTATCATTCAGAAGTATTATCTGTAATGTGAATTTTTAAAGCTATGCATTACATTTTGCAAAGTTTCACTATTTCATTACTGTGATACCATCTTTTGAGTGTCATTGTACTCCAGAAAAGTATGTGCTATACCTTTTCTTTTTGCATACCTAATGTTAGGCTTTGTATATACAATACCTCAAATTTCTTTTCCTATAGCACTAAAGTTGGGACATATTATCTGAAATTAACCTAAAGAACACTGGAATAGAATGTATTTATCATATGTATTTGATTGTATTGATTACCTAAGTACTTGCCTCAATTGTCTTGTTTCTTTTGGTGTAAAACAGCTTTAAAAACTATAAAAAAATATGGATCTCCCAACTATCAATGTTATGTTTGGTTAAGAACATGAGAATGGGTCCTTAATTTATTCTTTGCTGCCTTGCTCCCATAATAAGCCTCCTGTTCTAAGAACAGGATGAAAATCACTGTATGATTCAAACATGGGCTAATTATATCATGAAACTGGACATATAACTAGCAGAGGTTGAAAGTATGCCCAATTCCAAGATAGTCCCAACCTATTGGCTAGCAAATGCTTAAGACAGAGAGCCAATGCCATCGCTCACAATTTACATACTATTTGAAAGCCATAAATAGTTTTAAAAACAAATGAAACCACCATTATCTGAGTAGTTTTATTTCCCTTTCTACTTCAGAGCCACACGTGCGTACTGAATGAGCTCTTTGTTGCTCTCAAGCCGCAGTTTTCCGGCCCTGGGCTAGACCAGAAACAATTCAAATGAACAAGATGTTCCAAGTAATAGCGACTGGATCAGAAACTTGAACTCATGGATTTCTGAGGCTGTACACCTGTACCGGAGTAGAAACCTCTCTCCCAAGGAAATGGGTTAAAACTTACCTTGAGGTTGGTAACCCAACACATAGCCCACCGTATCACCAGGGCGCTAGGCTAATTATAGGGATCCTTAATTTCTAAAACAAACAAAGAAACCATCCCAAAAACAAACCCAAAGTCTCCACTGTGGCAATATGCAGAAAAGCAGCCAAATTCACTGCCATCAAGTTGATGCTGACTGACAGCAACCCCATAGCGCAGAGACAATGGCCTCTGTGGCTGAAAAGTTACTGTTCGTTTAGAAAAATCAGAAACAACTCGATGGCGATAGCATATCTGAGCCAAGTGATATGGGAGAAGGTAAAAACCCTCCACAGTGATTTAAAGTCCTGGAAAAAAGAATTTGTAAGTGTAACTTGGGGCCCTCCAAACCAATTATTTGATTTTCCATTGTTTCTTATGGGGAAAATATGTTCAGTTATCAAATAGTTCAGTGTTTGGACACAAATGTGGATTTAATTGAGTTCAACAACTGAAGTATCACTGTACAAAACAATTTTAGCTTGTAGGACTTCTTTTCTCAACCTACCCTTCAGTAGGGACATCATAATTTATACGTTTAAAAGGGTTTTGTCAATTAAAATAGCATATTGTTACACACCTATATAAATCCATTTCCCAGAAAAATAAAGCAAGCATTTGAATGTAAATTTACAATAGCATTGACAGTTCTTGATTTTTTCTTAGCAGTTACAAATATTTCAGTTCATTTTTTTCAACCAATGTGATTTTTAGTATATTTACCTTTCTGTAAGCCATCGCTGTGCTTACCTGATTCTGAATCAGATCTATTTCTTTCTGGGGTCTGCAGCCAACCGATTTCCTCATTGTCTATGTCACTCATCTGTTGAAGGATTATTATGTCATCTGTATTAGAAAGAGAATTTGAAAAGTCAAACAAGAACAATGGGTCTCAAGTGACTAATTTATGTTTTAGTCATCATGCATCAGAGTATTTTGGGGGGGAAAAGATATCCCTGAAAAGTTGATGATACTATGTTCATATGGAATTTGTAAGACTATAGTGAATTTCAAGCAGTACCAACATTTTCAGCATAGTTTCCTGAAACAGAAAAGAGAGAGAAAAAAGTTCTATTAAAAATGTATGGTAATTTCATTCAGGAAACAAAAAATGTTCAGATGAGAACATAAGGGGATGGAGAACTCAATTCATGGAATCTGAACAGCAAGAATGGAAATTATGCGAATGGTCACTCACGCGTTGGGAAGAATAGTGGCACCCCTGAGTAAATTTGAATGCTAGACACTTCGTTGCATTGACTTTCTTGAAAAGTAAGAAAGTAAACAGAAAAAACAGATTAACAGGAGATACCACAGAGGGGAAGTACCAAGTTTATTGTAGTCTTTGATCTTCCTCAGTAAGTACATCAAGAACACTTCTATTTCAGCACACAAAAGTGTTAATGGATCTTTGTCCAATCCTGATACTGAGTTCTGCATATAGTCCAGGTAATTGGATCATTTACTCAGCATATGGATTGAATAATCATGGGGATAGGATAAAACACTGACACACACTTTTCTTGATATTAATCTATTACTAATGTCCTTGTTCTGTTCAAATGACTGCTTCTTGGTCTATGTCCAGGTCCCCCATAGTCACAAAGAATTGTCCTCAAATCCCCCATTCTTTGCAATGTTATTTAAAATTTTTAAAGATGCTCAGTTGTGTGCATTTGCTTAGTCAGCAAAACACAAGTAAATGTCATTCTGAAATTTTCTGCTTAAAGCTAAGATTTATCTGACATCTGAAATTATATCCCTTATTCCACATCCTCATCTGAATCAGATTTGAATCCCTGGAAATTCCCTGTCCATGTACTTTTGCAACCATTATTGAATTAGCTCCAGCAAAATTTTACTTGTGTGATTATTAATGACATTGCTCAATAATTTCCACAATCGGTTAGGTCCTCTTTCGTTATGATGGGCACAAATACACGTGTCTTTGTATCAACTGGGCACTACCAGCAGTGCAGCCATTTGCTGACCAACACCTCACCCTGCACTTTGTCCACTCCTGGTGCCTTGCATTTGCCAATGTCTTCAGTGCAACTTGGACTTTGTCCTTCAATATTAGTTTAGCAGTTCTTGATCATATACTGCCTCATGAAATGGTTGAATGTCAGATATAGATACATCGATATAGATAGATATCGGTATATATATATTTGGGGGGGAGTTGGGGACTCTGAATTCCTTCCGTTTTAAAAATTGTATAATTAAATTAAACATTAATTTTGTTTCGTCTCACTCATGCCAATTCCCTAAATGTAATGTCACCTATCCCACATCCTTTCCATTCCTCCTTCTCAACTCTGTCCTTGGGGAAATGCTGTCCTTTTGATCTGAAATAGTAGGGTATTCCAACGTGGGCATAGCTCACTAGTGTTACCATTTCTTGTATACACTTGTCTATGCGTTGGCTGAAAATGGACAGATCTCCAGGTCTTTCTTCCCATGGAGCTGCCGGTGGTTTCCAACAGCCAACTTTGCCGAGAGTAGCTGAGCACTGAAACCCACTGTGCCCTGAGAGCTCCTTTCGACAACAGCTGAACTGCAATGAAAGCCAAAGTCTCCGAATTTGGGGCTTAATACACATTCCACCCTGGGAAATACCGGAACATTTTTTTATACTCTGCCACTCATAAGACCTAATTAGAAGCACCTCAGTCAGGGAACGGGGAGAAATGGGGTGGGAGGTACACACTAGGCACAATGAAGAAGAGGAAAGCATATAAGCTATTGATATTTTTTAGAAAATGAAACCGTCTGAGTGTAAATCGTTGATGACATGCTAAAATGCTGACTGATTCCAGGACAGAGAGATTCTGTAGGTTGATCTTCATTCAGTTCTCAGTAATTTCTCTCAGCCACATTGTCCAATGAGACAATACTAAACAATTTTTAAATGCTGTTTTGGCATTATAAAAGCTGTTTAAACTTGTAGAAATTTCAAAATATTTAAATAACAGGTTTTCTCAATTTCCAAATATTACTTGTATTTTCTTAGATGCCTCTCCAACTAGATTGCAAGTTGGTCATGACTTTCTGTGTTTTTTTTTTATGTCTATGTATATGAGAGGCATGACAAGCAATCTCAAGGAGACAGCAACAGGGCTGGCGGTTCAGTGGGGGGAAGGCATGGGAGGGGAGGAGGAGGGCAGGGGAATGGTAAGGCAATATTTCAGGGAAAGGGGAATAGCAAAGGACCTACAAGAGACGGGTGATGTTTGATGATGATGTTTGATCAAGTGAAATGCACCCAAGAGGTGAACAAAAATGTCTTTAAAATTTCCTACTCCCACTAACATGGGCAAACATGATGGTGGGGCATGAGGAAAGAAAAAAAAGAAATAGAGGAAATAACTAGGGAGTAAAAATTATATATATATATAGTTATATGTAAATATTTAAAGATGGGTATATTTATCTCTGCATGTATATATAAGTAGATACGATAAGTAAGCAGGTGAATTTTGGGCCTCTACTTAAATCCTACCTCAGTACAAAACCAGTTTGTTCCAATAATGTGACAATGTATGATATTCATCTTCCCGACATGATCTCTGAAGACAAAATGGGTGCATAAGCAACTATGGTGAAGAAAGTTGGTGGTGCCCAGCTATTAAAAGATACAGCATCTGGGGACTTAAAAGCTTGAAGTTAAGCAAGCAGCCATCTAGGAGGGAAGCAGCAAAGCCCACATGGAAGAAGCACACCAGCTTGTGTGATCATGAGGTGTCAACAGGATTAGGTATCAGAAGTTCAACAATAAGCAAACAAATTGATGTGAGGGAGCATGGACAAAGTGGAGACTCAGAGCCCACCAGTAAGATAACTGGACAGTCCCTCTCAGAAGCGCCATATAGAAGGGATGCTATATCCAGGGCACAGTAGAGCACTGCTGAAACTCACAACGATCCTCTAGTCCTTTAAAATGTCCTCCTCCCACTTGTATGGCCTTAGTTTTATCTCACTATTCTTGCTAGACCGGGGTTTATAAATTGGTACAATCAAGATCTTTTGATGCACTAAATTCAATACAGATGCAATGCTCAGAAACCCACAGGTCCTTATGGGCTATGAGTCAAAATAGACTCAATGGCAGTGAGTTGGTTTTTTTTAATGATGGAGATATTTATTATTTGAATACAAGTATGCCTTGTAGATATTGTGAGTTCAGTTCCAGACCAGTGCAGTTAACATAAACATTTCAATGGAGCCCGTGCCACATATTTTTTGTTTCTCAGTGCATAAAATGGTTTGTTTATGCTGTACTATTAAGTGTGAAAAAACAAAATGAAAATGTCTGAAATATTGTGAGAATTACTAAAATGTGACAGAGGCACCAAGTAAGCACATGTTGAAAGAAACGAGGTATGCCCGTGCAAGGGACTTCAAAAAAGTGTGTGGAATTCAGATAATGGAATCTTTCCACACACTTTTTGAAGCCCCTCCGTATTTTCACTTTTAGAAAAACATGGAGAAAGTTTACTTTCCAACAACATATCAAGAACACATATTTGTTCTAGAATAGGTATTTTGTCTTGTCTTCTAAAGGAAAGGACCCATTTTGAGTACTCAGCTGTTTGCCTTGTTCATCTTCTTCATGAAATCAAAACCTGGATTCTCATTTTCTATGATGAGATCAAGATACAGAAACGAGTTTAAAAGGATCCTTTCAAATCTGACTGTGGTTTTGCACACACACATTATCAACCCCCTACTAACCTACAACAGGCAACTAAATCTCGTTCCTCAGCCTAACCTTTCTCAAAGCAGATGTTCCTAACCCCTCCAAACTGATCATCTACTTGAATGTCCAGAAAAGCAGTTGCCATCATCAAGTTGATTTATGTGTCAGAGTAGAATGGTACTGCATAGGATTTTCAGTGGCTTATTTTTCAGATGTAGATCACCAGGTCTTCATTCTGAGACAACTTTCCGTGGTCTAGAATTTCCAGCTTTTCTGTTACCACTCACATACATTAGCCATTTGTACCACCCAGGAACTTAACTTAAACATGAGCACCTCCTAAATCCTTTGAACCTATTTTTCAAGTTACACTCAATCACCACCTTCCTCAGGCCCCTAGAGTCGGATAACCTATTGTACAAATTCCATGTTTCCCTAAATATTTTCCTATTTCTTCAAATTTATTACACCTCTAATATTTTATATCAGTTTTTTAAAAAAAGATAAAATTGTATTTAATAGTGTAATACTTTCTCCCCAATATCAGAAAAAATGTAAGAACGTGTATTCTTAGTACTCCTATTCAACATTATGAAAGGTCTAGCTAGGGATATTAAGCAAGTAAAAATAATAACAATATGCAGTATCCAGATTAAAAAGTGAAAATATCTTGATTATAACATGCCATGATTTTCTATACAGGATATCCTGAGGGTCTATACCCCACCCCCCAACTTAGAGTTGTTAAGTTCAGTAAGGGCACAGGATGAGTGAGATATATAAAAATCATTTCTAATTTTACACACCAGCAATGAACAATCTGTAAGTGAAATCAAGAAAGGAATTCCACCAAGACCATTCTATGGAGAAAGGATTTTTCCCCCCAATAATTTGTCCTGGGACAGCTGGAGATAGCTACATGCAAAAAATGATTTGTTTCCCCTACCATACACATCATATACAAATATTATCTCAAAAATGTATTAAAGACCTAAATGTAAGACCTAAAACTGAAGAATGCTTACAAGTAAGCATGTGTAGAAATATTCATCAGCAACAATTTCTTAGATATAGCACCAAAATCACAAGTAAGCAAAGGGAAAAAAGTAAAATTTTGTGTAAAAAGACAATGACCAGATAGGAGAAAAATATTTACAAAACCTTTCATTATTAATTGACTAGTGTACAAAATATGTAAAATTAACACTGGTGCAAAATTTGCAGGCAGTGCAACAGACCGGCAAGGGGAGCAAAGCAATGAAGTCCCCAAGCAACCCAAAAAAGACTTCGGGGGCAGGGCATGGTACCTGATCAGACTCAATCGGAACACACCTTCATAAAGATCAACAGATAGACCTGGAACTATTTATAGGATTTTATTTCCCCCCCATGTCTATCTATATAAGATAAGCAGGATAAACAAACCTGAGGAGACAATAACAGGACCGACCGTTCTAGGGGGACATGGGATGGGGGAGGTGGGGGAAGGGAAGGTGGTAGCCAACAAATCCAGGGACAAGGGGACAACAAGTGATCTAAAATTGATGGCAAGGAGGGTGTAAAATGCCTGGTGGGGTTTGGTCACAACGGAAGTATTAATTGTGATGAGTTTAAGAGCCCGCAATAAAATGATCTTTTTAAAAAAAAAATTAAAAGCCTTTGCAGCAAAGTGCCGTGGCCCTGCGTGTGTGAAGAGCAATGGTAACTTTACATTAATTCATCGTTCACTCCCATCTAGTAGATTCCGGCTCAGAGCAACCCTAGCAAACGAAGTTGAACTGTCCGGGTTTCTGACGCCATAACTCTTTTCGGAGGCAGAAAGCCCCATCTTTCTCGCGAGAAGTGGCCGGTCTGCTTTAACCGCCATTTTCAGTTTGCCGCTCAATTTCCAGTCCATTACACCACCAGGGTTCTGAGCATGAATTTGCATTCGTTCTCAGAAAAGCAAGGTATTGGTTAGAAAAGCGGCCATTTTCCCCCAGTCATATTTTCCCCCTCTCCAAATTTTTCCTCCCACTCCATTTCTGTTAGGTCCTTCCCCCTCTCCAAATCCTTCCTCCCACTCCATTCCTGTTGGGTTCGACGAGATAATTCACACAACACCGGGGTGGACAGGAAGGTGGGCCCAGAAAGGCACAGCACTTTGCAAGTAGTTTGGAGACGGGATGGGGTGGCGGTGGGGGAGGGGGGGGCAGGCGGGTGCTTAGAGCGGGAAGGCAAGGCACTTGGGCCCCGCCAGTGCTCTGTCTCCCCCAATGCGGGCTGTAAAACCTCCTGCTCAAGGCCAGAGGATCCAGAAAGATGCTTCCCAGGATTGCGGGACATACTTACCTAGAGAAAGTTCTAGAATACCCAAGTCAGGGGCCGCCGGCGCATTCTCAGGGCTGTTGAGGGTTGAAAGCGAAGCCATCTTCTCCAAGCAGCGACGCGGCAATGCGCGGCAATGCGGAGAGCTCGGCTTTTGAGGCGACTGTGAGAAACTTCCGGCTAATCGCATAGCCAATCACGGGGCTCGCCTTTTAGGCGGGAAGGATTTGGGGGGCGGTCTTAGTAAATCTCCATTCCCCAATCCAGGAAGTTGGCTCACCAAAAGACCCGAAGATACAAAGTCTCTAGTTCTCTCTCTCGTTTCTCTTCCGTAAGTTCTCGTCCCACGTGTGCACACCACTCTGGCGGCCATATTCTTTTGTGTGTGCATGGACTGGACCTGAGTTGTTGCTGTTCCAAAAGCTTCATTTGTAAAGCATTCGAAATAACAATGATAAACCGTTAGGAAAACCCGTTGTCTTTTGCAAAGAAAACTAGCGAGAAGACTGGCGTTATTTCCCATGCTGCTATTCTCCGTCAAAGAGAGCTGGGTTCACGCCGGTTCGGGGTGGAATGGAGGCCCGCGCTCTCACTCGTTGCAGCAGGTCGGGAACAACTCCTAGGACAGCCCCTCGGCCTCTGAGACCCGACAGACTTAGGAGAGTAGGAAGCACCATCTTTCTCTCGAAGAGCGCCTAGACATTTTCAAACTGCTGGGGGGGGTTTCTTTTCCAGGTTGCAGCCCAACACACGCCCACGATGCCACCAGGGTTCCTCACAATCTATCATTTCGGTTGAACTAGGGTGGTAAGACAAAAAGTATTGCCACACTATCGTGGAGACCTTTATTAAGAAAAAAAAAAATCAAAATACAAAGCTATTTTTTCCTCAACAAATCCTCGATCTAGGTCTACAGACTTGTGAAGGCAGTGTTTTCCATCTCTCTAAATCTTGCTCCCAACATTCTTGCCTCTGATTTATACCACATCAAAAAGATAGTTTGGCATCCTCCACAGATTCAAATAGTTTTCCTTTCAATGTTTTTTGAATTTGGGGAACACAGAGTAAGCCTGAAGGGGCAAGCCCTGGGTTGTTGGGGGGAAGGAGTAAGGTTTCCCACAGAACACCCCTTGCTCCTCTCGAAGCATGGGAAGAAACGCCTCCCTTTTCGGGAGCAACTTTCCTGGCCTGTTCTCACCAATGCCCTTTTCCATTTCTGAAGACTTCTTCCTAGTAAGGCCCTGTGATCACCGTGTGTCCGTCAACACGGTGACAATGGTCACTTGGGAATCCCGGAAAGCAGGCGCCATAACCTGGAGGCTGCAAGCTGATCTCTCTCTGCTTTTGCATTTAAGTAGCCCAGCATAGCCCCTCCAAAGCCATACTTTTGACCATATCTTGTGTTTGTTTGTTTAAACAGGGGAGAGCACGAACGCAGTCCCCCACTACCACAAACTACGTAGTCGAGTTTCCCACATTTGGGGAAATCGCAGGGGTCAGCACATCCCGAGTGCAATGGATAAGCCTCGCCCTGGGTAAACCACCTTTTTTGATCATGGTATCTCCCCTGCCAGGTCAGTATTGTTTGTTTTTAACATACGCGAACGAAACTGAAAATAGCCCTCGAGGCGTAGTGGATGATGCAATCGGCTTTGAATCTTAACGTCTCTGTTTCAAACCCCCAGGCAATCCGCGGGAGAAAAATGAGACTTCCTGTTCTTGAAAAAAAATGCAGTCCCAGAAAGCCGTGGGGGCGGTTCTACGCTGTTCTACTGGGTAGCTAGAAGCCAGCATGGGCTCGATGGCACGAAGCTACAGTTTTAATTAAACTAACACTTGATCGTTGAGAGAGCCTGTCTGCAGCCATCCACTTCTCAGAGAAATGTCTAAACATTTCCAGTAAGAAATGGTACTCCATGAATAAAGCAACGAATTTAGCTCACCAATCGCCTCCGTGGTTGCCCTGCAATATTACAATTCATTCGGCATACAATTGAATGGTTTCAGTATTTATACATTACCACAAAACCAAACCCCTTGCCACCAAGTGAATTCGGACTCATAACAACAGAGTACAAATGCCCCATAAGGTTTTCAAGGTTGTAATCTTAATGCAAGAAAACGATCACGTATTTCTCCCTAACACTGACTGGTGGGTTTGATCCCAGGTCCTTTTAGTTAACAACTGAGTGCTTTAGTGACTGTACCACCAGAACTCGTCACTTAATCACATGGAATATGAAATAATTATGTATTCTAGAGCAGAGATGGAATATTTTCACGGCTTCAGGAATTTTTTTTTCTGCGACAGACGCTGGGTGTCTTTATTCTTCAGATGGCTTTACCTTCCCCATAGCTCCAGGTAAGACTGAGAGCAGACCACGGCCCGGCCCTCTCGCCAGTGTGTGATCGGGTCCCAGAGGAGAAGCAGGCAGGACGATGGCAGAGTCTGATGGGGTGGGGTGGAGGGTGGGGGACGCTTCTGTTGGGTCAAGCAAAGGGTACCCCACATGATGGAGTCCTTGGGGTGGTCGACCGAGAGGTGAGGGGGAACCTTGTGCTTAAGATAACCTGCTGGGGCGGGGCACCAATTAGGGGTGGGGTGCAGGAGCCTCGGGTTGTACTCGGACACTGCTGGCAGAGGGGGAAGGGGAAGAGGGACGGAGCAGCTCAGAGGAGGGCACAGAAGAACTACTTCTTCCGGAAGGGGTTCTCCGAAGTGGGCACGGGGGTAATGAGGGGGTCCTCACAGGCGTGGGCATCACAGTACGTCATCAGGTCTGCGGCCGCCATGGACACCTTTAACTGGCACAAACTGGCTTCAGTTTTCAGCTGCTCCACCATTTTCTGGGCTTGCCCGATGCGCTTAGTGCTGTGCACAGGGGTCTGCCCTTTCGTCCTGCGTCCAATCGACGGGCGGTGTCGGCGGCAGCCCTGGCGTGTAGGGTCAGTCGCTTCAGGAATATTCTTAAGTGAACCTGACTTATGCTTGTTAAGTTGGAAGTACGTGGAAGAATGCAATCACTATAAAAAAATATCCTTTGAAGGCTTTCTAAATCAAACAATGGTTTAGCCTAACTCATAAAGAATGACTGCCTTGAGCCCTGTGCGCTTTGAGGATCTATCTCTATGGGATCAGATTGACAATAGCCCCTGGAAAGATTAGATAGGAAATTAGTGGGGAGGGGGCAGTGAGTTTATGTTAATGGGGGAGCAACAACTCAAAATAGGAGGATGCAGATGGTTGCATAGTTCAAAGACTGTGATCAGCATCCCTGAATTGTACATGTAGCAACAGATGAAGTTGTATATTTGTGCTCTGTACATTCTCAACACCAACAACAAGTCCACTCACTTCTAGGATAGTTAGAGGGGACACTGCCTTGATTTTTGCCAAGGCCCTGCAGCTTTACCTTTGCCCTTGTAGCACCAGTGAAATATTCAACATGTAATATTGAATATGAAATATTCAACCGCTTGAATATTACAACCCTCAGAAGGACGCATACCTGCTCTGTTCTTTTGCCACTTCCAGTGCAGATAAATATGTTCTTGATGTAATGGACTGCTTCTCTCAAAATTCAAAAGCAACCACAAATCGAAGAGGTAAGGCCCATCCACAAGCTTGCCTGCTACTTGCTGTCTAATGACACCTTTAAAGAAATGTCTATGACATTTTTCAAGAGACATGTAATTATTCCGGTTACCGCCTCAGCACTGCTCCAAAGATGCTATAACAAAATGTTAGAGGAGTCACATGGTTGCCACTGGTCCTTCAGAGGAAATAAAAATCTTAATATACCTTCCAGTCTGAAAACATGTTGAAGTTGTTACAGAAATCACAACATAAATGGCTGAAGATATTTTTAAATGTAAACTTTAAATTGTGTGTCTCAAAAAAAAGCATGCAAAGCCCTACTCATCAGAAAACTGACACGATCTCACAGAGAGAGACCCCTGTAGGGGACCCTTTCTTTGGCCCCTGCCCCAATTACTCTCTCCTTCTAGGCGTGATCCTACCCCCACCCTCACCGCAGCCTTCAATATCTGCTTCTTTTGGTGTGAAAACCATTTTTCTCACTTGTTTTCTTTTTTTGTAATCCTTTTGTAACTGGCATTTAAAAAAATCATTTTATTGGGGGCTTGTACAACTCTTACCACAATCCATCCATCCATCCATTGTGTCAGGCACATTTGTACATTTGTTGCCATCATCATTCTCAAAACACTTGCTTTCTACTTGAGCCCTTGATATAAGCTCCTCATTTTCCCCCTCCCTCCCCACTCCCCCTCCTTTATTTATTGGTTGTTTTGAGATCAGCACAGAGACATTATGAACAATTTGTACACAATTCTTGATGCACACACCCAAATCCTGAACTGGAATATAGACAAATATAGTGACTTTTTCTAAATCTAGTGACTTTCCAGCTTTAAATTTGGAGGCAATTTTTAAAAGAGGTTATCAAGTACCATTATCTTCAAATGTTGATAAGCTGTTACATCTTAAGTCCCACTAATTCACAATTTAATGTCTCATGCACACACTACACACTCAAATGTTCAACTCTTCCCAGCACAAAAGTAACAGGAAAACAAAATAAAGTTCTCAGGAAACCTGGACTACCACGACCACTGGAATGGTGTCCCAGAAGGCACACAATCCTGACAAGAAAGCCATCTGACAGAATGGTTTTCAGACAGACACAATTCTATTTTAAAAAGACAACAGGGAAACAAAATTTTAAATGTTTAAGTAATACGAATGCATGAAAGTGACTCTAAATTGCCATTAAGACATTTTGTATTTAGAATACAAAAACTCTGGCCTCTCCGCCCCCTCCTGCAAAGCCCTGCATCCCATGGAATGCTATGTCGACACCCAAGAGAGTCAAATTTCTTCACAATGCAACATCGCACTATTTTCTGGTTGTACCAAAAAATAAACAACCAGGAGATTCTTTCACATTGTAAAAAAAAGTATCTACACTTTAAAAAATGGGATAAACATGTGTCTAGAGCTGCTAAAAACGTGCGTTTACAAAACAGTTTGTGAAAATATTCCTGTGGATTGTACAAGGGCCTATTGATCAGGCATGGTAGA